GAAAGAAAGAAAGAAAGAAAGAAAGAAAGAAAGAAAGAAAGAAAGAAAGAAAGAAAGAAAGAAAGAAAGAAAGAAAGAAAGAAAGAAAGAAAGAAAGAGCGAGCAGGGGAGGGGAGTGAGGGGAAAGAAATGAGGCATTTGTATGTAGAATGCTGTGGAATCTTCCAATGGCTGCTGCCTGGAGTCCTGATTTCATTAGCTGGGCCTAGAGGTCTTAGATGTTGTTCATCCTCCCAGTTCTTTCAACATCTCACAATGCTTAAATTCAATTACTTTCAACTTTTGGGGGATGGTTTTGGAAAAACACTAACACTCATATATCTCCCCATTAACAGATATTCTCCATATTCAAGGTATTGAAGGCACCTTGATGAAGAGTGAAAGTATGAAAAGTCCATTGTAGCAAAGACAGAGGAAAGAAATGCCCATGACAAGGAAATAAAGGTGTTATTTATTTATTTATTTTTTTTTAAAAAAGCTTTTGGGATACAGAAAGAGACACCAGATGTAATAAGAGTGCTCTTTCCTCTTTTCTTAGCTGCCTTCTTTTTATGGGTAGATATTTAAATTTGCTACTGCCATAGCCAGAAAACCATCTCTATGCTTCTTTAGATACCTGTTAAGAATGTTTATTAGCTTCAGAAGAGCTGTGTGAGTTGTCCAACTTGGGTATCATCAGATGAAAATCAAGTGCTCTCAAAGTCAAGCCGAACAGCCACATATCTGTTTTGGAGGTTTCTTGTTGGTTTCTTGTTTTTTGGGGGGTGCTGTTTATTCATTTTTGTTGTTGTTGTTCATTTGCCTTTTTTTTTTTTTAAGAGCTAGAAACAATTCCCCTGATTTAATCTTTCTTCTTCCCTTATTCCTGCTTGATTTGAGGCAAGGAGGCAAGGACAACAGCAATTTATGATCTGTGACCATGACTAGACTTTAGAGAGAATTTTTCTCCTAGATGTTGAGAAATGGCACAGAAAAAAAAAATCAAAAGAAGAATGGGAGCTAAGTAGACAAAAATAATAAAAAATATTTCTGCAAATAGAGTGTGAAGCAAATGCATCAAGAGGGAGGTTGTTTAAGAGGAGAGGAAGTATTCAGTTTGAGGAATTTATATGCAACATTTTACTCTAAATTCCATTTGAAGACAAATCTTGGAATTCATCAATCAATCCTGCTTTGATGGTTTATGTAAAAACAAAATAAAAAAATGTTTACAAGCAGGATAACTGCATTAAAAAGCTTTATTCTTGCCTGTTTTTTGGAATTGCTTTTGACATGGTAAAGGATTTGAGGGGGAAGGGAGTCACAGTTCTGCTACCAGTTTGATTTCATGTTGATTTAAAATTTAAGCAATGCTAACAGGTAGTGAATCTGATGGCTCCTATCATTACACTCTCAGCTTCCTCCCAGCCCCCACTTTAAAACTCTTTCCATGAGAAGTGTTTACCATCTTTTTCTTGAACTTCTTGCTGTAGTGAATCATAAAATCTGCTCTTTAGCTTTGTATATATAAACAAATCCTTTTCCTTGTCAGGTATGTCAGATACACGTTGGCTAACAAGTTTCTCATGTGCCAGGCTTACATGCATACACCGCCATGCAATGGGCAGTGCTGTTGATCAGGTTGTCAGCAATTCAGATCACTCAGGAAAATGAGAATAAGTTGCCTCACAGCTACCAATTAGGATATACATTGCTGCGTAATTTGAATACAAACAATCCTGAATAAATTTCCCTGAAGCCTCTGGGCTCATCAGAAGAGGGTCAAAAGGAGAAGATGAGCGCCCATGTCTATGGGTCCTCAGGGACTGCAGATGAGGGACTGCTGTCCTTGCAGGCTCCATCAACACGGGATTAGCATCTCTTCAGCAGAGACAATCTCGCTGCAACTGTTGCATTCAGGCCAGTTTCTGTTCAGTTGCATCTGTGACATCTGCATTTCCACAACTGATGGACAGAGCCCCTTTCATTGCTACCTGGGTACTAAAACAAAAGCAAACCAAAACAAAGACTTCCTTACATGTCTGTGTGCACTAGTCAACCAGATTAATAGGTTTTAGCACTGTAAAAATGCCTTCTCACCAGCAGTTTCAGTATTTTCTGTAAAACAAGCTCCTTAACCTGTCGAGGAGCTGGACTGATGATCCATTGACTTTTATTGCACTTAGTCCCTTGCTTTTCCCAGTTCTGCTGACATAGGTACAATTGTTCTCATTTTTTCAAAAGGATGTCTGAAGGAGAGTTAGGTAAGTGCCACAGTCAGAGTACCAGTGATAATTTGGCTAATAATGGGAAGAATGAGGCTCAGCCTGGGCGGAGGAGGGAAAGCTCTGACCAGCCAACCCTCCAAGACTTCCAAGACTGCTCTCGCCCCCAGTATTTACCTCGAGGAGCAGTAACTTGTCCTAGTGCAAGTGTTTTCGAAAAAAAAAAAAAAAAACCCTATGTAGATTATTTCGCATCAGCCTCTGAATAAAAACTGTTCTGGAGATTAAGTGGTCCCCACTGGACTGTATTTTAATACTGATCTGGAAGAGAAAGGCTTCTCTATGACCAATGGCCTGACACCTCATGCACCAGTTCTTATTGTTGAAACGCCACCACAACTCTTGATAGAATTAAAATACATCAAAGTAAATACATTTCTTTATTTGCATTAAATATCCAAGTGCAATAAGCTACATTACGGGCCAGTGAACTGGAAAATGAAATTATTGTATTAATGTGACTTTTTATTTATGATAGTAATGCAATGTCATAAAAATGACAGCATATTGACTTTATTTTCACACCTGAAAATAAAACCAAAGCCAAAAAAAGTCTCCTGAAGTATAGAAAAAGAAAGTTGTATAAAATACTCCCTAGTTTCTGTCTACCAGAGTCTGGAAAAGGTTTGGTTTACAGATATTTCCAAAGAGTCCCTGGAAAGGCATTATAGGCAGGTGCTGCTGGAAGAGCATCTACATGTGCCAGAGAATCCCTCTGCCCTCAAAGTCGGGCCAGAAGGCTCCTTGAGGGCAGTCGAATCCCACCCCCAGGTCTTCCATGCAGCTTCTTACTCCCAGGTCTGAGTTCTGGCTCTGAATCCCTTGCCATATCCCCCAAAAAGGCAAATCTCTCCTCACCCCCAACTCGCTCCTCTGAGCTCAGACCTCTGGAGACTGTGGAGGCACCTGAAGTGAGGAGGTTGCTCTGGGAGTCTGGGCACCCACAGTCCTCACTTTTACCAATGTCATTATCATCCTGTACTGGTGAGGAGAAGAAAAGTGTCTAATCTAATTTTATCAGCTATCTTACATAATCCCTCCGAAGAAATAAATTAAACTGGCAGGAAAAGGGGCTCCAGGTTTTAATTTAAATTTGTCTAATCATAATCCTGCATCCTGTAACAGAGGTTTTTGTTAATATGAATTTAGTTCTTAGGAGAGTTTTTTTTTTTTTCCTTAAAACCACCTTGGACATTAAATCTCTTACAAAACTTGATTTAAACAAATAGCACAGAGTCTATAAGATCTAAATATTCATCACTGCATCAGTATAGTTCATCACTGGCTAATTACTAGAGCAAGTTAATGTAATGCAGAAAGGGGTGTGGAAATAGTGCTGTTAATAAGATCACACATTTATCCCAATGCTTGTTCAGAATTTAAGAATATGTAAACACCTATAGATTTCTCAGAAAAAAAATCATAGGCTCAAAACATTTAATGATCATAAGCAGATATTACTCAGCTCCCAAAATAGCTTAATGATAAGAATTTCTAGTATGCTTCACATACTAGAGTAGCATTGCAAGGTCTTCAGCACTGATGTTTTGAAGATTATCTCTTTCTTCTAGCATACATAATCATGAACTGGTAACAGTACTATGGAGTATCAGTAAGGAGTGAGACCAGTAGAGAACACTTGCACAAACACACTTATCTTCTTAAATTAGTTTGCATAGTAATGTACCAAGTAGAAATAAATGTGCCAAATAATATATTTCCAGTGATTTAAAAGAGTTGTTCTAGGCTACAATAAGCCTAATACTGGCCTCATTTCCCTGCTGTAAATCAGAAGCACTGCTCTGGTATCAGGGAAGAGCTACCAGCAAAAAAAAAAGTCAAAATGTAGTTAGATTCAAAATTCGTTGTCTAGTAACACTTTAAGTTAGAAGTCAAACACCAAGTGAAAGACCAAGACTATTTAGGTTTCAGTGGGGTGATCTGTAAACTCTTGTAACCTGTAAACTCTTCTCCCTATTCCTCCTTTTCTCCCTCTTCTCTCCTTACTCAACAGACTTTTAAAAGGCAGCAGGAGCATTTTGGAGGGCTTTGATATTTCTTATGAGCCCGAATATATGTGTCTTCATACCTTCCTGATGCTGACAGGCCAAGAGACAACCCGCTCCTTCCTCCCTTGTATGCAATAACCCTAAGGTGCCTGTTCCAGGAGTTGCTGAAGATCAAGGAACTGAACAAGTAGCCAAGGCCACATTCACATACAATTGTGTCAGTGGAGGTCCTCGTGGCCATGCTACCTCATCCCCTATTAACCTGATAATATCGAACTGTCGAATGACCTGGACCAGTTAAATGCTGAGGATGGATCATGGGGAGCACAAGTCAAGAGAGAGTGTAGGACAGGTTACTGGAGAAAGTGGTGGCTCCCTTCCCCACAGAGGGAAAATATCTTAGGAAAGAGATGGGACTTGGAAGATCCTCTTAGCTGACTCCTTCCCAAAGCAAAGGATCTAGATCTCCT